GCCCTCCATACTGTAGATGCCCTCCACCACAATGATTATCTTCTTCCACGGCCGGTGTGTCCGCCGCTGACCGGCGATTATATTCAATCGTATTTTGCTCTCCAAGTCCTTCATGTCTATGAAATGCAATTAAAATTAGGTTTGAAAATACAATTATATTTTTGTAAATACCGTTGTGTTTGAACACCGCTATAGAGGCGCCCGATTTCCTACAGCCGAGTATTAGCGACGCGTGATTGTACTCATCGCTGATGATTAGCGATCCCTTGCCGGCCAGTGTCGGCAGATTAGCCGCGTTGGTCGCGAAGCCCATACCGAATACAATGGTAGACTCGACGCCCAAATACTCGGCCAAACGGCTCTCCAACTCTTGCTGGGTATCGATTGTGCCTAAAATTGTAATCAATTTTGTCATTAATTAGTGTGTTTTGGGCATTAAATGGGTTGCAAAACCCGTACCGCACTCGTGACGAGTGGTGCCGACGCCCACCGCGTACTTCCCAATCGTGTCCTTCACTTTGTCAACGTTTACGCCGGTATTCTCAGCGAATCCCAGATAGTTATACGAACCCATGTTTATGGCTTCGGTTGTAGTGCCCGGATATCTGTGTTAAATGATATGACAGTAATTATTATCGATTGATAAGCGTTTCAAATACATATCAAACTATTCAATAATTGTCTGTGAACTCGTCCCCCACCCCGGGGCGGGAATCCCGGCAATTATATCGATATCTAATACTAGTCTAATTTATATAACAAGTTATTCAAACTATTTACGTGACTAGTAGTAAAAAAACTACTAAATAAACAGTTATTCATAAAAAAGCAAAAAACCAATAATTTTAAGCGCATCTCAAATACCAAATCAAATAGTTTTCAATACTAAACACCAATTTGTGAGAAATATAGGCATATATTTAACAAATACTCGACAAAAACCTTCAGCTATCAGTTCACACATCCCTTCCTTCACGCCAACGATGCCGTGAAATGTGTGCTCAAAAAATGTCTCAAATTTTTAAAGTAAATGTAAAAAGTTTCTTAAAAAGTAATAAAAATAAATACAATTTTTTATAACAAATTTTATTTACAAAATTATATTCCTGTAAAGTGTTTAGTGTAACGAACCGTAAGTTTAATATCCAATAAAATTTATCAATTATAATGTCTCAGAAAATTAAGCCAAATATTTGGGAAAATAAATAAAACTATTTCTTAAGTAATTGAGGGAAAGATAGAGACAAACAAAACAAAAACTATTACTCTATTAATAAAGCAATAAAACAAACATTAAATTATTTGTCCAAAAATACAAATATTGTTATTTTCCGATACAATCGTACGGAATATTCCTAAACATATTGTCATACTTTATGACTCATAAACTATATATTACTTGCATTTTGTACACAGAAAATACACACAAAAACCCTAACAAAAACACGATATGTATCTCAATATTGCTTAACGACCACTAAAATTATCATCAGATAATACAAACTATACTCTACTTAAACACAGGATCTTTATATTCACGTTATAATGAAATAATAGCTATTCATTCATTACTAGAGCATTACATGACATGAAAATATTAAGTTTTAAATGCATTGACTGCA